TTACGTTTTCGCCCTCCTCCTCCTCCTCTTCTTCTAGAATTACTATTAGTCTTAGGGCTTGATTGATTTGGTTGAACAGGCAAAACAGTTCCCCCTTTAATCTCCTCTCTATCACTTGATGTTGCCAGTGTTCTTTGAGCTTCTATATAAATTTTCAAGTCTCTTATCTGTTCCTCAAGATCAACTATTTTCTCTTCCTTCGATTTCAATGATGCAATTTCCCTAAAATCACAAATACAAGTATAAGTATAGATACAGATATAGATACAGATACGGAAACAGATACAGATACAGATACAGGTAAGAACCTGTCTTGGACTTCCTTGCATTTTCTCTTGAGATTTTCTTGCTCTTTTGCAAGATCTTCATTAATCTACAAACAAAAAGAACAAATGAGAAAAAAATTAAAAGTAAAATGATTTAATAGAAAGAAATGAAATTAGGATGCTATAATAAGAAACTAACATGTGAAACAGATTTTGTCTCTTTAGCAACTTGTTCCAGTTTATGTTGAATTTCCTGTGTCTTTTCAGCTTCAGCTTTCTGTATTGCTTCACCTATCAATATCTCCTTTCGACTTTTTGCCTCAGCAAGCAACGTTTCATAATGCTGGAAAAAAATATAGATTATATATTCATTACCTCATAATTTATATTTTATTAAAAAAAAAAAAAAACTTTACTTGTCGTTGGGTCTCCATCTGGGTTGCAAGAAGAAAGTTGTATTCATCTACAATCTGTATTTTTTTTTTATTATCAAATAATAAATGAGAAAAATATGTAAAAAACTTCATAAAAAATATATTATATATAAAGTTACCGCATCAACTTTGGTGCTAAAAAGTGCTCCATCAACATCATCATCTTCTTTATCACCACACTCCCCTTCAAGTGATTCACATTGATGATTTGTTGCAATTGATTTGCTACCAATTTTTGATTGATTTAATCGGTGAACATATTTATCACCAACATAATCCCAAATCTGCTGTGTTTCTAGTTCAAGTGAATAGCTATGTTGAGCATGACGAAAATGCTCAATAGCATGTCCTTTTTCATACCTTCACACATTAATACATATTTACTATATTAGGGCATTATATTTTGGTTTCTTATGAGGACATTATACTTTGAAAACTTATGTTTTGTTTTTTGGATAACATTGCTATAATTGGGAAGGTTTTACAAAGTGTAATGCTCTAATAACAGGAGTAATATGTTACCTTCCACATCCTACAAAACTACATATCAGACAAACCCATGGATTGCTAGATGTTCCACAAACTGCACAAGTTGGTTTTCCATCCTGTTGTTGACAAAGTCGACAGACCTAACACCAAACACATTTTTTTAATCTAATAAGAGGATTTCACATTACAAAGATTAATTCATGTGGAGGAGAGTGTGTGAAAATGAACTGGTTATATGCCAACATATCAATACTACTAAGTTGTAACATCTGCACCCCAAGAATTGTGTGAAATATCAATAAATAGAAAGAATCAATAAACCAACCTGGCAAGACCAGAAAGGCCACTTTGTGATGCAAGAACATTGAAAGGAATGGTCGCATACTGTAATCTTTATTGCACTTGTGTCATGATCCAATCTCTCTATCATTTGAAGAATAATTGAAATATATCATCAACAAATACCATGTGCACACACAAAGATATAGGTATAGTAAAATCTTTGACGATTTAACAGCAGCTTACCTAAGCAAACAGGACAAGTAGGCAATTCTGTATACCCTGGCTGAGGGATGCTAGCGATCTCTGATGAATCTGTGTATTCCACTGATTGAGCGAAGTAGACATGGCAAACCTCAGTCTGAAAGTTAAACGCAACCAGAATGATTCAAAATCAATCAATTAGAAGTGCATCTATGGATGCGTATAGACTATATACACATGGCAAGTCAACGTGATGATTTAGCACACAAATCACTCGAACGTACTTCAAATCAAATACTCTCTCAAATGAGAGAAAACGAGATCAAGAATACCTCAGAAGGACCAAACCGCTTTCCGTTGTAACTACAACAGAATCCATCAGCAGCCGCTTGATTCACCAGCTTAATAAGCACGCTATACCGTTCTTCAACCGCATCATTTCTTCAAACATCGCAAAACGCACAGGAAATTCAATCCACAACTGAAAACAAAAAACAAATTACAAGAAAAATATCCGGATGTAATCGAGGCAATACCTGATGAAACAGAGATCGGTGAAGTACTCGACGTGAGAGCCACAGAAAGTGATGAACTCTTCAGGCGAAAGGTAGTTAGGTACAGCAACGATAAACGCAAGTGTGGTGCGTGTAGTGACGTTGAACAACGTCATAGTGGGGGAGGAGCTGAAGGTTGGTAGATTGCGGAAGAGGTGGACTACACCTTTGAGTTCAGTAGGACTGAACAAGTTTTTCTTAGACTTAGGGTTTGAACCTCCGGCGACGGCGGATTTGGTGCCGGATGTAGCGGCACCACCGCCGAACGGCGTCGCAAACGGTGGTTGGGAGGTATCAACTGTGTGAATTCGGAGAGCGAACATTCTATTCTTCCTCTAACAAAATCGATGGGTCTGTTGGCGGGCAAACCGGGAGAAGAAATGGGCTTAACGGAAAATCATCCACCCTTGCTTTTTATATAAGAGAAAACCAAAAAAAATAAAATATTTATTTTTTTATTTTTTAACTTTTCTTTTTCTTTGCATAAAAACATGTTAATTAAGAAGGTGGTTTTTTTCATTTTGTAAATTTTTTTCTGAGAGGGTTAATTTGAATAAAATATATATTTGTATAATTACTTTATTTGAATTATAATAAATTCTCCATAAGTTTAAATATTTTTTTATTACAAAAGAATTATTATTATAGCTAAATAATTATAGAATAGAAGTAAAAGTGTAAAACTGTACATTACCTTGCATATTTTTCTTTTCCATTTTCTGTTTTACATGAGTATATTTTATTCGAATCATTTTGTTATTAAACCACACCCTTTAATTACTATTTGTCAAATAAGGACATCCGAATTCAATTCATTAAGTAAGCTAACTTAAAAGGGACGGCATGTGTCATTTAATGATTTTCAATCATCAATTCGTAATTTTGTTAAAATTCCAACTATTCAGATTTTTGTTCTTTATTTTGTTACATAACATTAAAAAAAAATGTCCTTGCGATTCAAATGAGCGGAATAAAATTTCATACAAGAGGTATATAAAATATACAAGAGGTATATGGTTAAAATAGTGACACATGCACAATATAACTAATGTTATGTAATTGACTTTCCATATGGATCTTGAGACAAGTTGATATGGTTTATATTTTTTACAACACTACGTTTTTTAGAATTTGATTATTTTGATATCAATTCTTGATATCTTCTTAATTTCTATATTATCTATATATAATATGTTTTTCTTCTTAATTTCTATATATAAAAGTGGACAATTTTTCGTAAGTTAGATCATTTTCTTTCCTTACATCATGTTATTTATCGTTTCAATATCCGAGGTATATTTGAAGATATATTTTAAGTGAAATTCTTGAGAGTCAAAGATTCATATCTTTTAAGTTCGATCGATTGAATTTATCACCTTACTGCCGACGACTGAATTTATCATCTTTCACTGTATCAGTTCTTAAAGATGTCTTGAAAAATATACTTTTAGACTTTTAGTAGTAATTTTAAAAGTCAATAAACTCATATTTTTATCATATTTTCGCCGGACTATGTTACATGTGTACATAAACTGGATTTATCACATTATATTCTCTTCTTTTTTAATCAATCCTCACAATTTCCTCCAATATACTATTAATGAAATCCTTCAATGTCAGTAAATTCGAACATTTATGAATTTCCGTGAGTACATTAATGAAACCTTAAATGCCAACATGCTTATGAATGACACAAAGATCGTACTCATTTCATGTTTTAAGGAATTGTGAAATTTTTATTAACATGGCCGAATCTTCCTGTTTATAGTAATTTATCTTGTATTTTCGAGTCATCTTTATATATGTTATAGATGTGTTTAGGGCTCCCTTTTGTAAGGTTTGGGGGTGTGATAATGGCTTCTTTTAGCATGGTATTAACTTACGTATCATAATTGCAACAAAAAATTCCACAAAGATATGCTAGATGACACAATGATCTTCGTTTCAACAAAATTCCATTTTCACATGTGAGTATCATTCATCATTAATATTTATTCTTTTGTTTCAAGTATCATCCAGTTCATTTCGTCATTATTTAACCAACCACCCATGATTTATTTCTACAAAATAAAATCCATACTATCTATTTATCTTTATCTTGATATTGATTAATCAAATTCAGATAACGGTTGTAATAAAATATAATTTAAGAGATAGTGTTTGAAGATTGAAGTTGTAAGTTGCTTGAGTATTTTATAGATTCCCATTATTTAATGAATTAATGGATAAATGACCAAAGAAAACATTATTTTTGAATTGTTTAAAGTTGAAATAACACGATTTACTTTTTCATGAAGTATAATAATAATTTTTTTTCTAGACATGTTATTATTAAAATCATTTAGAATAATAATATATAATCTAACAATTATCTTGTTTTTTTAATTATTAATAATGAAAAAAAAGAGAAAGAGTGTAATTTCTGCAAATAATCTCTATCCAAACAGTGGAACTATTATTGCGATCTCACATAATCATCAGTTCCATAAGCACACCCAAACGCCTCTTAAATAGGGAACTAAAATATCACTTAAAACATGTTTTAGACCAAAATCTATTTCATAAAAATATTTTGTAATTTCAGCCTTTCAAATTAAAATCTTACTGGTAAAATAATTGCTAACATTTTTATTGTAAGTTTAATTTAAGTGACGGATTTTTATGAATATGAGAACTCTTTAGGGGGGTGTTTGTAAATTGTGAGATGCAGAAAACCATTACAACCCAATGAAAAGATGGAAGAATGATTCAGACTTCGGAGGTTTAAGAAAACAAGTATAACAGTCTGTTTTAGTCTCTCTCTCTCTCTCTCTCTCTCTCTCTCTCTCTCTCCTACGCGGTTTCAACTCTCTCCCAAATCCCAATTGTTAATCGTTCGCAATCGCTGCTTTCAATTGTCATGTATCGGAGCTTCTTCATCCATTTTAATCGATCAAAATTCTCCAAGAATTAATCGGTACCTGTTTATCATCAGTCTCTGTAATCTGTATGCATTCTATCGATTTTTTTTTTTGTAATTCAGATTTCATTTCCTGGATCATTTTATAATGATTGATCGTAACTTTGGAAGCTAAAATGATCGTTTCAACATCAATTTTATTGAATTTAGCGAATATAGTAACGATCAGCTGTATCAACTAGAAAATTTTACTATAGACGCTATATTCGCTCTCATAGCATATCATAGTTTCATCTCGAACGATTTTAGTTTGTTAACTACAGAACGATTAATTGATTGTGGCGATTTTAGATTTTCCCTCCGAATTTTGTGCATTTGCGCTTCTAGTCAACAACGCTTTTAAATCTTCGATAATGGAAATGATATTATGTTAATAGATTTATCATCGATTAATTTCAACACTATTCACTAATCTTTTCTGCAGTTTTGAGGTCTGAAACTAGAGCTCGTGTTTCTTTGTATGGGTTCAAGCAGTTTCAGAAAGGCAATTGGTGTGGTTAAAGACCAAACAAGCATAAGCATAGCCAAGGTTTCTGGTAATATCGCAAGGGATGTTGAGGTGCTTATAGTAAAGGCAACAGCCCACAACAATGAACCACCTGAAGAGAAATACACAAGGGAGATCCTTAACCTTACATTTTACTCTTCAAGTTACGTAAATGCCTGCATTTGCACTATTTCTAAACGATTGAGTAAAACACATGATTGGATTGTGGCATTGAAGGTCTTGATGCTTATACACAGGTTGTTAGATGATGGGGAGCCTGGATTTGGTGAGGAAATGATTCATATGAACCGAAACAGGACAAGGGTTTTGAACATGTCTGATTTTCATGATGAGGTTCACTCAAATTCATGGGAGCATTCAGGTTTTGTTAAAACTTATGCTTTGTATCTCACTCGGAAGCTTGAATTCATGGCATTTGACCAAAATATTGCAAACTATAGTTCACATTTTGAAAAGGTTTTGGAGAGATTGCATCATCTGCTTCGTGTTCTTGATAGGGTTTTATCATGTAGGCCAACTGGGGATGCGAAAAGTACTAGGATTGTGCTTATTGCACTACACCTTGTTTTGAAGGAAAGTTTTAGGGTTTATGCTGATGCATGTGAAATGATTGAAGTTTTGCTTCAAGGATTTTCAGAAATGGAGTATGATATTGGTGTGAAGGTTTTTGATCAATTTGTTTATGCAGCTAAAATGAGCGATGAACTTGTGGTGTTTTATAACTGGTGTGAGGAAATAGGTGTTGTTAGATCATCTGAGTTCCCAAATGTACAAAAGATTACAGATAAAATTTTGGGTTCACTAGAGACATTTTTAAGTGAAAGAAAGATTGCGTATGATAATGGAAAAATAGATGAAATAAAGGCAGTTCCTCTTCCTCCACCGGAAAGTCACAACCCACCACCACCTGCCGCCATGCTAACTGGAGACCTTCTGAATCTAAAGGATGATGGTAATGGGAGATTACAATCACGAGAAGACCCTTTTGCAGCATCACTCAGAGTTTTACCTCCTTTATACATGTGGAAGCAATATGGATGAATTACAAAAATTATGTTGTATAAATTAAACTGAAATTACAAAGTTAACAGGGGAAGGACATACATATGAACAAAAAACCAACTTCGCATCTCAAAAAATGGTAAACTAAATCATCATCAATACAAAAAAAAAATGGAATTTTTCTTACACAAAATTGTTGTTGTTGGTGTTTAGTTTAGTTTAGATGAGCTAATTTAATACCAAAGCTGCAGCCATCTTCAATCCTTTAATACCTGTAGTTATTTATTTCATTCGTTATTCAACAACCAAAAGGGTAAAATGGTCATTTACTTGATGGAAAAAGAAAGAGACTTACATAATCAGCAAGATCTTCGAGTAATTGAAGATCACTCTTCACAGACCCTGTGGATTTTTTTAGTTTGAGGAAAACAAGAGGTGACATTACATCACTTGCAAGTTCCAACCCTTGTATATATCTGACAATCCTGTAATATTCATAAGACATCTGAATAATATGAAATAGTGTAATTTTCATGAAATAAAATTGGAAGACAAACAAATTACAAACCTGTGGTTAATGTTTTAGAATTATCTCTTAACTTTGTTATGAGTTGAGGGTTTTCCTCTATGACATCAATAGCAGAAATTGCAGCACTTCCAAATATGGGGGAAGAGATGCAGAAAACACATAACCAGAGCTGCTTAGCCTCGACACAAACATGAGCAATCTACTTTATTTTTTTACTCATCAAAGCAACCTACTTTACATTTATTAACTGATAATAGCAATGTACTTTTTTTAACCTATAATAGCAAATATACAGCCAAATGCTAATATTAAATAAAAATATTCATTAAAAAAACATTTGTAAACAAAATAATATCTTTAAACAACAATAACAAATTATAAAAACCTAGCAACTTCAAATCTTTTGTAACCAAATTTTCGCCTAAGAATTCCAAATCTTTTGTAACCAAATTTGCTTTCATTTTTCCGTTTGTGATTGTGTATAACATCTTCAATTTCTATAGAAAAATCAATATACAAACAAAGTTAATAGATCACTAATGCCGTCTATTGTTACGTCGATCATGCTTTAAACTCTACTTAGTGCATCTATCGGCTTCCTCAACTTTCCAACGTAATCTTAGGTTTACACCAAAACCCTGACTATTGATGTTGACAAGCTTGTTGCATTTGGACCTAGTACACGACTCTCCGTGCTAAACAAAAATTTTGATGCCATGGTCAAAATTTGTGTTGTCAAAATATCTAACAAAAAGATTAAAATATAACTTAGAAATTTAATAAAAAAACTCTAAAATTTAATAAAATACTCAGGAAAAAAAATAGAAATTGATAAACATTTATTTTAGCTTTTTTTATTTGAAAGAAATTAAGAAGTGATCGGTATACAAAACTTGAAATTTGGAAAGGGACCCCTTTTCTTTCAATCATTTTCTCCATGTTCAATGGTTTCAAACAATTTTCCAAACAAAACCCCTAGAGATGTCAAAAAATATTGTTCAGTATGGGGTAATTTGTTTAAAAAAATCAGGGATTGAAACAGAGGTAAAGGTTAACTCCCGTTTTAATTTTGGGGACGGGTGCTTTTTATCTAGAGACATCCTTCCACCAACGCACGTACCCAAAAACAAGAAAAACCTATATATGGAAAGAGAGAGGTGGTCGAGTACCACTCCCACCCCAAAGGCAATTATTTTCTTGTTTTCCTTTCAATCTTTTTTTTACTTCTCATGAACGTACTTAACCTAGTGTAACAAGGAAGAAGGTGTAGGGGGTAAAATACATACTTTGGACTGATATTATTATTAAAATTTTAAAGTTGTAGTCTAAATTCGTAATGTATGTGAATATATATATATATATATATATATATATATATATATATATATATATATATATATATATATATATATATATATATATATAACCACAATGATGTAATTCGTAATTCGTTGTATAGTGAGGTTTGATGTTGTTGTTGTTGTTATGTGCAGTACACTATGCTTTAATATGAGTACGTAGGTTAGGGGATTTCTGAAATTTTAATCAGAATATGGTTGTGAATCCATGCAGAGATGAACTAATTCCTGTTGGTATTTTGTGTATAATTCCCCGACACCAATAACTTCTTCGCTTTCTGGGTTTAATCCTCGTAACACAACCAATTTTTCCTTGATTGTGGCAGATGCGTCGTCGTTTGGATCTAACCCCTCTATAAACTCCCCATGAATTTCCCGGCAGGCTATGATGAACATCGCCGCGCTATCTGGTCGATGAGCCTCACGCAGCACCGCCAATGCTTCTTGTAAACATCCCGCTGCTACATACATTATTAGGGCCCTGAAATTAAGGACAAATACATATATACATATATATATGCTACGTAATTTTGAAAACCTTTATTTATTTATTATTTTTTTTTACTGAAAACAAATGATGATAATTCATACCTCCAAATGTTATGTTCCGCATTCAACACGTGTCCCGCCCATCTTTGCATTACCCTACACTTAAAATATATATATATAACAAAAATTAATTAGAACTATTTCTCGTTGTGATTATATTGTCTTGTTTTATTAAAGTTGGAATTGAACTGTAAATAAGAGATTAATAAATAAAGTACCTTGAATAATCACTTCCTTTTAAATGTGTTGCTGCTAAGGTTGCAGCATCTGTCCAACACCCTGCATCTTGCAGCTGACAAACATAATAAAAAATAATCTTGATTCGTGATGGAATTCTAAATCTAATAATAATAATAATAATAATAAAATGAATGTGAATGACATGACATGAGAGCAATCAGAACCTGTGAACAAGCTTCTTGATATCTCCCAACAGCACAGAGGAGGTGTGTGCCAGATAATGACCTGTCAGTCCTCACCATATTTGCTGCAACCACCTAATAAATAAAAAATATATATATATATATATTTTTTTATGGTGGAAAAATAAAATAAAAAAAGATGAGATGGCAATTGTATGTTACCTTTACTGCGAGTTCATTTAAAGATCTTGAGACAGCAGATGAAAGAGCAACAGCACGCAAAGCATTTGGGTAGAAGAAGGAGCTCTCCGGGGGAGTTGAAAGCAGTAAATTCACAGCAGCATCCAAGTTACCAACTGTCACTAGCCTAATAAATCACAATGCCTTAATAACAAAAACTTGTAACAGAAAATGAATGAAAAACAGAAAGGGATGAAAACTGACTCATGGACTTGGTTTTGAATAGCTTGTTCACCCTCCAAGTTTTCATGCCAAGTAATACGTTCACTAGCATTTTCCCATAACTCTTCGTGCTCAAAAGCCATCATCCTAAGCTCACCATTACTCTGTCCTCCATTCATCATGGAATCCATAATCAAACAATATGGCTAAGGAATGAAACTAAGAAAATGAATGGAATTAACCATTCCATTCCAATGAAAAAAAAAAAACTTACAAGTGAATTTGAGTTTGTCAACCTTGGTACAGTTCTCCTCTTCATGGTGAACATCCTACTTAATACAGCTGACTCATCAATGGTAGATGGCAATTTCACAGGTGCTTTTTGCAAAGACTTTTTAGCCAACATATTCAGTGAATGCTTTAATGCACGTGGCAATTGCAACCAAAAACAAGCCTCCAAAGTTTCACCAAATATTGCAGCTGCAAAAGCAAACCTTGCAGCACAACCTTTATTCACTATACTACCATATTGTCTCACCCTCTCATCATCAAGCACACAACCTGATTCAAACCAAAACCAAAACCAAAAACAAAAACAAACTTTTTTTTTAATACACATCATTCTACTTATAGTAAGAAGAAAAGAGAAGTATAATAACATGGTTAAAAAAACCAAAAAGTACGTTCTATATGTTGCATTTAGGCTGAAAATAAAGCTTCACCTTCTCTTCGGTAAGGCTCTAATGCTTTAAGAAGTAACTCAGGGACAACAGAATCACCAATAGGTGATAAATCAATTAAATAACTACGAAGGTCTCCAACAGATGCTGATGAGCTTCTTGATATTTGGGAATCTGAATCTCCCCCCTTATCTGGAATTGAACTACATGTGTTAAACCATGAAGGCTTTACCCCATATTGCAAGATTAACCTCAATGCCTGTGGTTTAAAAAAAAAGGATATTTTAATAGTATAAAATAAAAAGATCATATAAGCCATATGATATTAGTGTGAATAAAGTCGATCTTACTAATGCATGTGCTGTAGGAAGTAATACAGGAGAACATAAAGGCATTGGCCTAAATCGCTCCTTCACAGATCCAGGTTGGGCATCATAACCACTTTTTTTATCACTGAATGAAAAAGATTATAAAATGTTAGTACTGGATAATATGTTTTGGTCATAAATAAATATCTTGAAAAAAAAGTGATGCATACATGTTAACCTGAACAAGGCGAAAGCTACTATCAGCTCCAGCAATACATAATACCAATGGATCATTTTTATCAGTTCGTACAGGTAACCAATCAAGCTCCAACACAAGTGTTCCTGGAAACCGTGTTTGTAATAGGGAATTTGCTAAAGGATCCTGTGAATCCTGGAAAAAAAAAATTACAGCCTTGATATAAAAAAAAAAAAGATTCTAAGTAGCAGAAAAAATATGACATAAATGATGAGTAAGAAAGAAAGTTACAAGATCAAAAACAGAAAATGTGTTGTCATTAAACAAAACAGCAATTCGTCCAAGGCTTCGATCTCCAGGAACAACAGGGGAGAATTTGATTCTTCTAATTCCTTCTCTGTGAGTGTTGAAAGAGGAAGATTGTCCCGTTGTCACATCCCACCACCTTACATTTCCTAATCTATCCCCCATAACCTTTATACATGTATATAAATATAAATAAGTCAGTGACAATATCTTTTATATATATATATATATATATATATATATATATATATATATATATATATTTAAAAAGAAAGAAAGAAAGAAACTAACCACATGAGGCATACGATAAGCCATAGCTGTCACCATCCCTTCAGTAGAAACAAACGAG